AGCTAATCTAGACTCAAGAAAATTACTTTCATTTATGCATCTAGTCTAAAAGAATGCTAACAATTGTCACTCCTTTGATGACAGGATTGTCACAGCAACAGCTAAGAACTGCACAAATGCTTACTTTTTCCTTTACAAAAAATATTTATCCTCTCTTGGCAAAGCACTGAGAAACTACATAGTAAGGATATCACAGTAGTGTTAATATTTATGTCTTACTGATTTTTGGTAGTGTGAATTTAGATTAATGAGCAAACAGACCCCATGGAAACCACCTCTCTTACCTTGTCTTAGTTTGATTTATTAAGCAATGCAATTACCAGTGACAAGCCCACAGAGAAATGCACTCAACACTTCAGAAAGCAAAAACCTTACCCACGTATTTTTTGTGCAAGAATGACTCCTTCCTCTTACTGCAACTAAAGGAACAGCAACAAAAATACCTACTTAAACACTGAAAACCTTTTACAATCCTCCTAACAAAGGAATATTGCAAAGACTTATTTTCTACATGGTTCATTTATTGTTGTTGTACAAAGAAAAAAATTAGCCTTTATGTTTCTTCACAAAGTAAAGTGATTTGCAGGGGAGAAAAGAAATTGTGACCTCTCTTTCATTTAAAGGGAGCTAGATATGGAGCAGAGGGAAGAAAGGTGCTTGTAAATTAACTCACAAAATAACGAAGATGTTAATTCTCTAATCCTCCCTAGAAATTGCTATGAAAAGGTACTGAAACATTTGGGGGAGATACTAAATGGTTAATATCTGGCCGGGATTCCCCGCCAACACAAATTCTGATGATTTGCCATTGGATGTTGTCAGCACCAATGTCCTGTTATAGACCACTGAGATCCTCCCTGCAGCTTTCCTGCCTCGGGCATCTCTGATGTACCAGATCACAGTATGGATCGTCCCTGCTTATCACGATGTTTCACTTACCACCCCCTTGCACACACACACGCACACCAGGTACTGCTGCTTTTCAGAAAAAGGCATAAAAGAGTAAGCAAGTCACTGAGGTCTAACATGATAGCTCTGTACAAAAAGTAAATGCAGAAAAGCCCGTCCAGAAAATAGTTTGCTTTCCAAGCAAACCTTTAGCAATGAACGGCCCTGAAACATTCCCAAGTATTACACAGCTGGTTTACGGTTTCTGGCCTTAAAGAGTTTACCTCCTCACAGGTCCATAGACCTACAACTCTCTGCTTGCATTCATCTTTATAGTCAAACCGTAATGTAAATATTTACCCAGTTCAAACATTCCTGATCTAAATCAGCAATCATACAATACTGTCATATTAAACCTACATCACAGCTTGTTTTCGTGAAGCGTTCCTGGAGCCTGCCTTCTAGATGTAATTACTGTACAATATATATCAGAACCAGAGAGAAAGGCTTCACTCTGAGGGCTGAAATTGAGAAGAAATCAATACAAAGAAGATAAATGTTTCTTCAAGAGATGCAGAGGTATTAACCCTCTCTCCAACTTATTTTCTTTCTGCTTCAAACCATTTTTCCATGTAAGAAGCTGCTGGAAAGATGGGGACAAGATGGGTCTGTCTGCTTATCTCTGTCTTTGGGGTTAAAAGAAAAGTGTATTTTAGGAGAAAAAAAAAAAAAAAAAAAAAAAAAAGAAACAGAAAGGTAAGTTCTTATAAAGCTCCCAGAACTTAAATGTTTCTTTTCACACCTGCACACCTGGACGCAGGCGACAACCCGAGCTGCAGCAGGAGCCCACGGAAGGGACAGGAGTCGCGGGGCAGGGAGCTCACGGCTGGAGCGGGGCTCGCCCTGCCCAAGGTCCCTCACGCCACACCCACGCCCAGGAAAAAAAAAAAAAAAAAAAAAAACCACTTTGGGGGAGTGCGGGGGTGCTAAGCCGTTTTCGGGAAGATCCTTTCAGCCGCAGAAGGGGAGTGGGGGGGGGGGGCGGAGAAAAAGGGAAAAAATCCCGCTGTGCTTCTGAGCTGGCTTGAGGGGGCTGAGAGCGGGCGGGGCCCCCGCTGCGCGCCTGCGGAGGGGCGCGGAGGGGCGCGCGGCCCCGCGGGGGCGCCGGCGGCGCGACAGCGCCCCTGGCGGACGGCCGGGGGCTCCGCGGAGGCGGCGGGAGCCGGAGCCCCGCGCGGGCGCTCCAAGTTCCCCCGGGCCGGGGGCGAGCCCATGGGAGGGACACGGGGGAACGGGACACGGGGTCCCACCGCGGGGCGAGCGCCCACCTGGCCCCGTTATCCGCGGCCGCAGCATTTCGGTGGGGAGGGGGGGGCGGCGAGAAGCGATGCGCAGACACAAGCCGTGGGGGGCGAAGAGGGGGTGTGGAAAGCACGGTGGGTGCCCCCCGCCCGCATAACCCCTCTCCCACGGGCGTGGAGTGATGGTTGCAACAGAGCCAACCCCGGGCGCGGAGACAGCGCGCAGCCCCGAGCCCCCCCCACCCCTCCCGCCCTGCCAAGGTCAGCGCGCCGGCACGGCGAGACACCCACCGTGGACACGAGTGGAGTGGGGAGAGTAGAGACTCGCACCCAACTAAGTTGTTGGCGGGGGACGGGAGGTTACAACAAGGGATCGGAGCGCAGAGTCCCGGCGCGGCGGGCGGCAGTCCCGCAGCACAAAGGGAGCCCCCGGGTAGCCCCACGAAAGAAGGGCAGCGCCCCACGACTCCGCCGCCCGCCCCACGCCACCCGGGGCTGCAATGCACCGGAGAGAGGGGATACGGCGCCGGGAGCGCAAAGCCGAGCCCACGCACCGCGCACGGCCCCACTCGCGGGCTGCGCTGCCCGCAGCCGGGAGGGTGCAGCGGAACTGGGGGAAACCCAACGCTGAGGCCACCCGTGCATAGGGGCCCCCGCGGTCCCCAGCGCATCCTCCGCACCCGCGGGGTGCCCCGCCGGCACCCCGGGGGTGGGGGGGGGACGCGGACACGTGTGGTGGGGGCACCGGGACACCCCCCCACCCCCCTCCTCAACCGCCGCGCTCACTCACCGGGGAAGCACACCACATCATGGAGCACAGAGCTGGTGATTTTCAAGAAAAAGATCCACCAACACGGTTGCAGTAGCCTCCGCATGTCCAAAGCCGCACATCGAAAGGGGAGAGGGGCTAAAATAATTCACACACAGGAAAAAAAAAAAAAAAAAAAAAAAAAAAAGGGAAAAAAGAAAGAAGAGGGGGGGAAAAAAAAAAAAAAGAAAAAAAAAAAAACTTGTTGAAAATAAGTTTCTCCCCGCACCCCTCTTCCTGCGGGAGAAAGCGGGGGGCTCCTGCTCGCCTCCTCAAGGAGGGGAGGGGGGAAAAAAAAAAAAAAAAATCAAAAATTCCCCCCAAGCGTGGGGCAGGGGGAGGACGGAGACGGCGCGCCGGCGGGGCGCGGGGATCCCCCGCGCGGCACAGCGCGGCGGGGCGCGGAGCGGCGCGGCTCAGGCGGGCAGCGGCGGCGGGGCGCGCGGCATGCCGCGGAACGGGGCGCTCAGAGCCGCCTCCGCGCACGGGCGGGCGGGCGGCGGTCAGCCGGGGCCCCGGCGCGCTCCATCCTGCCGTACAGGAAGTGGCGGGCGAGCCCGGATCCTGGCGGAGACTTTAAAGCGGGGCGAGGGAGAGAGAGAGGAGAGGAGAGGAGAGAGGAGGGAGCGGGAGGAGAGGAGGGAGCGCGGCGCGGCGGCGGGGGCGAGGCGGAGCGGGGGCGCGCCGGGCGCCCCGGAGGCGCGCCCCCGCCGCCCTTAAAGCGGCCGCGGCGGTGGGGCGGGCGGGCGGGCGCGCGCGCGCTCGTGGCGGGAAGGAGCGCTGGGTGTGCGCGCGCCCCCGCGCACTCCCCGCGGAGCGGCGGCCGCCCCTTCGCTGCGGTGTGAGGGGGGGGGGGGGGGGGGTGGGAATTGGGTGCAAAGTGTGTGATCGAGAGCGAAGCCGAGCGGGATCGGCCGCCTGCAAGGAATGTCCGCGGGTTTGCGCCCGCAGCCGAGCGGCCGCGGGTGGAAGTTACTCGTGCCCGTTACGCCGCCCTCGGTACGCGCCGCGGGGGGCCGGGGCTTGGGGTTGGGTGTCCGCGTCCCCGCCGTGTCCCCTCCCCGCAGGTGTGTGTATGCTTCTGCCTAGTGCCAGAGGTGCCCGAGGTGCCCACCCCCCCTCCCAAACCCCCCCGCGATCACATAGTTCTCCTCCGGCCCCTTCAGTACCGAGTATTGCCAGGGGGCCCCCCAAAAATCATACAGCTTAACGCTGTGCTGGGTATTGCCAGAAATTCGCACCAAAATCATACAGCCTTTTTTTCCCCCCTGTACTATGCATCATTCTGGGCAGTACTAAAGGTCCCCTACAAAATCATACAGTTTTGTTTTGTTGTTTTGTTTTGTTTTTTCCCCCCAACACTGTACTGGGTATCGCCAGAGATCCCCTCTGTGTGTGTGTGTCGTGTTTCCCTCCACCCACCCACCCCCATTAACATAAGTTTTTTCTCCCCCACTAATATCCATCATTCAGGGTATTGCCAAGGGTCCCCCCAAAATTGCTGGTTTTCCCCCCAGTATTGTGCATTATACTACATATTTCCAGAGAGTCCCCTGAAAATGAGGTAGTTGACTGGTATTTTTGCAGAGTCAGGTGCAGGCTGTCCCGAGGCACTCTGCATCCAGATCTCGATCCACAGCCCCCTCCCCGGCAGCACTTTCTGAGTGATTGATAACTTTGCACAGGAAACAGAAACAGAAGATGGTGTGAATTCAGGAAGAAGGGATGGTTGCTTGTACTTGGCACTTCCTGACGGTGCTGTGGTCTGCTGAAGATTAAATTTCATTCCGAAGTATTTTTTGTCTGTTTCTTTGGTAATTATTTCCATTACGGTGGTTCTGTTTCAGAAGGGAAAGGGTCTGGCAGGAGTTTATCAGCGCGTGCTGTGCTCAGCTCTGGCTCTGTCGTTTGTTGTGACTGACTCCTCTTTGCTTACCTGCAAACCTTCCACATCTGTGGTGTCTCCAGAGGAGATGAGATGGGAGATAGGAGGAGGAACAGAGTATGGAAAACCAAAAGTCATATTTATTCAGCGGAATGGCGGTGATTTTCTCTCCCCCTGCCTCAATTTAGGGATCACTAGAGCAGAGCCCTCAGGGCTTGGGTACTTACGACTGCTGTGCTCTGACTTTTCTGGAACAGGACGTGGCTTTGTGTCCCTCCAGGTTTACCCCACGCAGCACAGGGTGCCAAATCAGTTTATTACGCTGCAGCCAAAGGGCCCCTGATTAGGCGGCATTGCGTTTTCACAGGCTTTCCTTCGACTTTCCACATTCCAGGTTGTGCCTGCCAAAAATTACAGTTGGAAGTTAAAAGTGCAGTCCTTACTAGGCAAAACTGTTTATCCCAGTAGGGATTTTACCAGTGTAAGGATTCAAGGACCTGATTAGATGTTCTCTGCCCTTGAGGGCACCAACCTTTGGGGTGTGCAAAGAGTGGAGAAGGCACTTGCGTAAGGATTTATCTAAAACAAAGCAAAAAAATTTATAGGCCGGCCCTTATTAAAGTTCTTCTCCAACTTATTGTTCATTAAATCATTTTCCAAAACAGGTGGGGTTTAGAGGTTGGTTTCAACTCTCATAAAAGCAAAGATAAAATTTTAAGAGCTAAATTTGCCTGATTTTTTTGTTCCTGTGAAAACTAGAAAACAAATCCCCACCTGCCTTTTGGATTCTGCAGTGACATCTGTGCTCAGTTACTTATTGGGCTGCTCCAGAAAAACCTGCAAAATATTCCCCTTTCAGCAACTGATTCCTAACTTTACTGATCTAGTGCAACAGATAGGTAGGCGGGTTTTCCTCCAGCACTGAGACTTGCCTCTTCAAATGATGGCTCCTCGGTATTGTAAGAGGCAATCTTAAAGTGAGTTTCAACAGGTCTCATTACATGAAAAAAGTATTAAACGCTATTGCAATCTCATAAAAGAAGAATAAAGGTAATGGATTTTTTTCAAGGAGCAGTTTTCATCAGCATTTTTCTCACTGATTCAAAATCCTTTGCAAAAGCTACTAATTACACCACTTTATATTTAAAATATATCTTTACATTACTTTAGGGGTTTGTATCCTGGAAAATAACAAATCTGAAACTGCCCCCATATCTTAGAATAGGAGGAATTCTATGGAATTCTGTATTTTCCATCCTCAGAGCAAACATGCAAGCAAGATATAAAACACATAAGCAGAATACTATCTCCCAAGGAGCACAGATGACTTCAGATCTCTATAAGCTGCTAAGGAAGATTTTAGAATGGCAATTCTCCCATCAAACGCCAGAAGTGTTCGGGTTGGGTATTCACAGTAGTTCCCTCAGTCTGAACTTCAAAAAACAAATCTGTAAAACCCCAATGTTGGCACAGACAGCTTGGTTCCGCATGCTGTGGCACAATGCTTACGATGACCCACTTTTCCTGGAGTGGCAAATCAATCACTGCATCTTCACACATCAGTTGGGGAGCTGCAGTGGCTGAAGTAGCTTTGTTTCACATGAGCAATTTGAGGAGGGTGCAGAGAAATGGAAAGATGGAGATCCAGAGAACAAAATTAAACACGCTTAAATGAGAATCCATTTCCTGCAGTATCTCCTTGCCTGCGGCACGCTGCCTATCAACAATACACAGGTACAAATTGGCCTGGAGATGTATCTTTAACTTTCCAAACAGAGAAAACTGCATTAGCAGCGTGCTGCTCTGCCAGACCGGTGCCATGTGACTGGGGAGCAGGTACATTAGATAGGACAGCTGATTCTTTCCCAGTGACTGAAGTACTGTGGTGTGATTAAAATAACTGCTACTGTATGAAGAGACTGTAAAGGGACAATATAATACAGTGCAGTTAAATCAGATTGATGGGTGTTCTGCAAATCTTGCAATATTTACTGTTAAACATAGTGGGTGCTGTCAAGGTGAGAGGAGTAGGATCAGCATCTCTGGTTTGCATGGAACAGTGAATAAAAGATAACTTTTATCTTTTTTTTTCCTCCTGTTTGAACAGGAAATATTTTTATGTTGCCTTCATCAACATATGGGCATCACTCCTGGGAAAGAAATGAAAGTCTGTTAATTTATTTGATCAGACATAAGAAATAATAGAAAACTGAAATGAAGACTTGCATTTGTCATATGTTTGAATTAGTAGAAAGCTGAAGAAAGCAGAAAAATATTGCAAGGAGTTCAAAGATGAGAAGGTTTATTGAATTAGAAAAATATTAATAGCATTAATCATTTCCAAAACAGGCTTTTTAACATTTATAATGACTATATAAAGGATTGAGGAAATGAAAATCAAAGAAAAAATCAGATATAGAAAGTTATGCTTTTTTGTGTTTAGAGAGGAAGGGATGAGTTTTCACTGATTTACATCCAGTCAGCCTCACTGGAATGGTTAACCTGTGGGGAAAATACCAGGTGAGGATCTAGCCCTGAAAGGATAAATCAACATGAAGTACCAAGAAGCAGCTTCAGTTCAGATTATTAGTAATGTGAGGTATAAACTTCCTTGTTAATTCAGCAGCCTTTTTGCATAGAAAGGAAAAAAAAAAAAAGATGCCGAACTTGAAGTTTCATAAATTATATTATTGCAGAGTTACTTTCTTGTAGCCTCAGGATAGATGCATTCTTCTCAGAGTATGCTGTGAGGCTTTGAAAGTCTTAACAAGGCATCTGAGAACCTGCTGAGAAACAGAGGTAGAGGGCAAGCAAAGTAGCTGTGATAAAAAAAAAAAAAAAAAAAAAAAAAAAGAGAGCTTTATTACAATATAATCATAGCAATGAGCTGTGTTGTTTGATTTATGAAGACATAAAAATAGATTAACCCAGAGAGGCAAGTAAAGCAAAATGTATGAAAAATGTTGATGGGTGATGCAAACTCTAGGTAAAGACATACACTGTAGGTCAGAGATTACTGCAAGTATTATTAGGCTTCACATCCAGCCTTATTATGAATGAGGGTATCTGAGCACTGACTTGAGTGATACTCCAAGACGTCCTGGCTGGGCAGTGTCCCACAGGGTTTTGCACAAGGTTCTTGTGGAAGACCAATACATTTATTTTCTTGTGGTCTATAAAAGGAACTTCCACCGTAGGGTACCCTTAGGCTAAATCATTCAGAACAGACACTTGGTCACATGCTGAAATACCTGCTTGAAAGCTTCATCTTAATCTTGAAGTCATACAGCTTTTTTGTCTCCTGAAATGGCCTCGAAATGACTGTGTTCTGTGAAACTCTGTGTTAGTAACTGGCGCAGTGGAGGGTCAGACTGATCAGCAATGAGTTTCCTTCTAAAGCAACTGTAGTTCAGAGTCCTGTGTTAGGACCTTGGTAGGGATGTGTGTATTTAATTCACAAATTCTCTCTTGTTAAAAGAAAAGAAGAAAAAAACCCCTCTATTATCAGTGTAGCAGTCAGCAGAGCAAGCATGTTAATGACTGGAGCCGAGGGATGAGCATGGAAGACCCAGCTTATTGTCCTGCTTGTCTGTTATCATGTAAGTAGCTCACCAGGAATATACTGTTTTTGCAGAATTTAAGGTGGAAACTAATGAGTCAACAAACTTATACGAGCTTTCATTGTTGGTGAAAAAAATGTTTATAGGTTTCAGTAATATTTGAATTCGATGTAAGTCTTGGGAACATCAATTGCAGAAAAGCAAAAATCCTTTTGACTGGGAAGGCTCTATACAGCCTCAATGTTTTTAACACTATCATGCAGCTTGCCAGTGAGATAACTGCAACTGTCAGGGTTTTTTCTACACAGTAAAGCTGACTCAAGGACAGGCAGGGTCTGCAGGCAGCATGAATTCAGGCTGAATATAAGCTGCTATAAGGAACAGTATGGGTGCAGTGTGCTGGACCTAGACATATTATAGACACAACTAATATTAACAATCTTCTTGTCCCTAATAACATCAACTTCCAGACCCCTTGTCTTCCAGAGCGTTCCCAAAAGCCAGTATCACAATGGGATATCTACTCTTTTAAAGGCCTCATGCATTACAACCAACACATCAGACTCCATCCTTTCCCTTATAAATAAATCAGTGAGAAATAATAAATTTATTGAAGGGGGAATTTCTGCTGTTCCCTTCCCTCTCTTCCTATATCACTGCTGCTTTCTGTCAAAGGAGCTAGTGCTCCTGCCTTCCTGCATAGATGTCCAAAAGTTGTGTCAGAACCTAATTGTGAAGGGTAAAGTCACAGGTGTGCAGTGGTCCCAAGGGAGAGCAGCAATAATGGCTCTGCAACAAGACATGACCTTCTAATATAAACCCATCACAAATGGTGGCCAAAGCCAGGCCTCTGAAATTTCTCCGCAATGAAGACTAATCAAGCAGACTGCAAAAAACCCTTTCCTAGCCAATCCCAGGAGACCACTTTAAGGAAAAAAAAAATAATAATCTGTTCTATAAATGATAGAACCAGTCTCCAAATCTGTTTAAGGAAAGAAGAGAAAGTTAAAGAGGAACATTTGCCAAACTCATATTCTTTCAGTGATACACTTTTTGAATGCAGGCATGAGATGATGTGCAAACTTATATGTTCCAGCTACCTCTTTTTGGTTGGTAATATCTTACAACAGCTTGTACAGATGTGAGTAACTGCATTCCAGAAATTAATGCCTGCCCCTGGCAGGTGTGTGTGGGGGTGGCCTTGACAGAACAAGGAAAGAAATAACATTTGCGTCTTACAAGGACAAGTAACTCTTTATTTTGGGCCCCCTGCGTTGCAATGGAGAAATGCAGGTTGCAGATTGCAGCATAGTTCTGTCTTTGCCATTCCTCTCTGGTTTCACAGATCTGTCTTTTTTTTTTTTTTTTTTTTTTTTTTTTTTTTTCTGCTTCTTATAACATTATCAGTTACTCAAATCTAGTCTTGTGTGAAGCACTCTGGATTTGAGTGTGGACAGGTAGTACATTAGCTAATATGATTCCATTAAAAAGGGATTCCATAGCCAGTGCCCCAATTAAATGAAGAAGCGTCAATATTAATAAACCTTCTAAAGAAAGGGATAAAATCAGATACCCACAGTGGCCCCACAGACATGAGTGCTAGTCAGATCAATACATACTCATAAGCACTGATGGAAATAGCTAAACAACAACAACATTTCTAGGCCACTGAGATTTGGCAGTACAGCACACCCACAAGGTATCCTTCGTTTTCTCTAGCTTTTCTTTCCATTCCCTTACTCTCCAGCCAAAGATCAGTGTCACGAGCATGAGCTACTCATCTGCAAACAGTTTCTTGCTGGACTTCATCTTGTCTACTCTTGATGGCTGGTCTAAAAAGGGTTTCTTGGAAGTGTGAAGATGCCATCCAAAAAGTTGAATAAGCAGTAATCCAAACCCCTGCCAGTTTACATCCCTAATGCAACTGAAATGCTTTTCATTCATCTTTCAATTGTCATCAACTATAGACCCACTGTAGCTGGGCACAACTCCACTGACGTAAATGACTGGGCATTCACTTTCTTGGAACTACACCTACTTGGATCCAAGTCAAAGTTTTGCCAATGCAAGGAGGGATGTGACCAAATACCACAAAAATGCAGTTGTTACTTTCTACAGTGTTTTGCTACTTTGGAAGTGTTGCAAGTCTGTGCCCTTATCTTTGCTACCCAGATTTCATGTTCATGATGCATATCTTTGTGCCATCAAGGTCTGGTGGTTACAATGCACTGTGCTAACAGCTATGGTATTGGAGGGTTTAAAACATTTTCGAATTTCAGCATCTGTTTTATGTTGATTTCAGGAGGAGAATGGGAGAAGAGGATGCCAAGTTCCAGAGAACAATAAACACTTTGGGCCAAATTCTCCCTTCGTCTATGCTGGTGTAAATCTAACATCTCTTAATCCAGCTGATGGGTAGATTTGAGCCAGTGTAATATAGGGCAGAGTCAAGCCCTTTAATTTGGAAGAACACAGTTGCGTCCTCTGTCTCATGACCAAGAAAATATATTTAAGATATACAATAGATAGGAGAATAAATTTTAATTAACAATTTTTTTACGGGGTTATCGGGTAAAAGCATGCTATTCCAGACTGAAAACAAGGCTTTCAGAACTGAGCTAAAAAGGGGAATGTTTATCATAAATGACCTAAAGAAGAGTACAATTAAAATGTCTTTAGAAGCTTGAACTGTTCTGTTAATCAACATGAACTTAGAATTCCAGGTTTTAAAATAACTAATGATGTCCAAATAGATTTTGGCATCTCTTAAAGCTATCTTTTTAAGACACATTGTTGGGGAAAAAGGAAACTGAGTATAAGGTTGTAAGTCTAATTCAAGTTAAAGAAATATGAGACCTCATAATTCTTCCCAAAGCATCACAGCTAGTAAAATATTACACTTTCTTTTTCCTACAGCAGAAACACAACAGAACAACATTATTCTCTAGCGGTCAACATTAATTGCAAACTGATGGCCACTTCTGAACATGGGAGTCTTCGCTGGGCCACATTTAATTATGTTAACTGCCGACATGTCAGCCTGCCCAGCTCCGGCAGCCCCGCTAGCTGAGCCGTCGTCCGTGGCACCGGCCAAGGCAGTCGTACCACACGGGGGAGTCCCTCAGCACGCACGGGAAAAGTTCATGTTTCATAAATCACTCGCTTTGAAACCTGATTTCTCTGTACTGCAGCTTCGTCAGTTTATCTGAGAGATAACATAAGATCTGAAACACTTGGAAGGGCAAAAAACAAAGCCTAGCAATGATATTTCTATAAACTACCTTATAACTAAGGTGGGTAAGATTTTGTTGGTGGGGAAATCCGTATCAAGCACGATTCTCTTTATTAAACAGTGTGTAAGCCACCAACTTGCTTGGTATTTCCATATAGAACACTAAGAAAAGTTCCAGAAGTCTCATCCATCAGCTAATAAAACGCTAGAGATTTTACTTAATCATTTAGGAAAGCAGAGGATGTAGCAGGTTCATTACATGACATGGCAACATATTATCTCAGCATAGCAGAAATGGAACAACAATGCCAGAGCAGAATTCAGCCATTTCAGTATCATATTTTTCGTTG